ATTAGTAACCGTTTATTTATTTAAATAATCACACAAAAAGAGCAAATTACATAAATGTTAAAACACTTAGAAAGCAAATTAAAACTAATCTACCCTCTATAACTAAAGGATTCGTACAAAAAAAAAAAAAATTTTTAAGATCCAACTAAATTGTTTATAAATCTAAAAATTATTGTTTATCTACGCTTACTAATTAAACTAATTTTACGATGTTTTTTGGATTTTTAAGATTTTCTAAATTGAGAAACTTTTACTAAAAAATTTTCTTAAAAGAAAAGCTAACGCTAAACAAAAAAAATTAAAATTTTGTTACATTTAAAAAGAAAAAACGCAATAACTACACTTTTGATGGAAATACCAAACAATCCATCGTTTGTAACGGCAAAAGTCAGGCGTTGTCCTCCGAAGAATCTTCTTAAAATTTGTTAAAATTTTCAGGACAAATTTGTTTATTCGCTATCGGAATCTTCCCTTCGTCCCTGTGTTTTCAGTTGTCACCACGCGCTTTTTGTTTTCGTTAATCTTGTCTTTATCTTCTTCTTTCTTCTTCCCTTTTTCATTTGGCAAGCTTGGTATCTTGCTAACTTTGTCTAATCTATTACTAAAATTGTTATTCAAGCTATCCAACTCTTCATGTTCTTCTTCAGTTCTTGGTATTGTTGATATGGGATCAGATTGAGCGTCAACAAATTCATCTTTTCGTTTTGTTTGCGTTGGCACTTTAAATCTATTTATCCCAAATCTTTTTTTATAAGTACCATCTTTACCAATCAACTCATCTTGACTTTTCATTTGAAGTCCTTTCCCCAAATCATCATCCATTGTGGACTTGTAAATTGCCTTCAATAAATCACACTCGTTGTTAAAGTAAATCAAAATATATTTGATCTTGTCTATTTGATTACTTTGACAAAATGTCCACCTAAAACTTTATTGTATTCTTTAATAACTTCATAATCTCTTTTCTCCGATTCTTCTTTATTTAACTTTTTATACGCTTGCCATTCATATCTTCTTTTAATCGCTGATGCACTTAATTTGGCGTCAACATCCTAAAAAAGTACGTCCGATCGTTCTTTGTTAGAGCAATATTTGATCCTCCTTTTAAGAAAATTTCATCCATTTCTTTTGTTAAGCGGATCCTTGTTCTGACCGTTCTGTATAGATTTAATTCTATATAATTATTTTTTAAGCAAATGATAGTCATGATACCCAGAAATTTTTTTTTAAAAAAAAATCTTTTTTAATGCTACATATTTACGTATTTGTAAGTATATTTGTGAGTATAACAGCAGGATTCTTAATTTATAATAATCATTTATTATAGTATCGTCAAATTTCTGAGGACATAAAAAAATTACTATTGAATGTAATTATATTAGTATACTGATTTTTGCACACCATATATAAGTTTTATTAAGTTTTATTTGTGAAAATATTCAATTCATACCAATTTGTCTACCAATTTCATTGAAGAACATGCCGATAAAAATGTTGCGTATGTTTAGTATACTATAAAACACAGTGAAATTCGACAAACTTTTTCAAGAATTTGGAAAACGTGACTGCTATTTATTGATGCAGATCAGTGCATCGGAAAAAATGACCCGAAAAAAATTCATTTTTTTTATTGAGACTTCTACGTTTGGTTATATATCCCAAGTTACACATGCAATATGATAATATAATAAACTAACTCTAATAAACTATAAAAGATAATTTCTTAGATTCTAGATTAAAAATGCGATAGTTTCCCCTCATTATATCTAATAAATCATTAGTTAAAATAACTTTTTCACCATAAAAAAAAGGCAAAAGAATCGTAAGAAAATTATGTATGGAATTACGTGGGGTCGAATAATTCTCTGAAAAGTATTCGCTTCTTAATTAAGATTTCGAAGGCACAGGGAAAATATTATAAATGAGTATCTCATTGATGGAACCAATAAAATTACGTTACCCAAAATTATAACCAACTTAAAATAACATACAAGAAATAGTAGTTTAACGCCAATTACGGGCGTTACGTCATTCCGGACCGCAGTAAATAAAATACTTAAAAATTTTATAACACTTAAACTAAATATAATACTGCGCCTTATATTTTCGCAACCCGATTTTTAACAAAGCAACCCATAATTTCAGCTAAATTCATAATTCTAGGTCAATTTTTTTATACGTAATTTAACAAATTCCGAATTAGGAATTTTTATGTCGATCACAATGATCACGTGACAATGGTTCAAAAAATATGAACCCGAATCATTGTTGGAAACCGAATTTACAACCGGGTTTGTGCAACCGGTTCAAACTCCAGTTTCTTCGCCGGAATGGCTTTTGCAAAATGACCTTCGGTAAAATTTCTATTCGGGAAAATGGCATTTTCGGTTAAACATCCCTTCGGCGAAATTTGCTTCAGCAAAATGGGCTTCTGTGAATTGGACTTCAGCGAAAAGTCCGGATACTCCTAACAGCCTAACCCTAATTCCTGTCTCTTATACACATCTAGATGTGTATAAGAGACAGNTTTCGGTTAAACATCCCTTCGGCGAAATTTGCTTCAGCAAAATGGGCTTCTGTGAATTGGACTTCAGCGAAAAGTCCGGATACTCCTAACAGCCTAACCCTAATTCGTTTCATATTTATGATTATGTGTATAAAACGTCTAAAAAAGCACCATTTTGTCCGATTTATGGACATTTATTACATGAGCACAAATATACATTTCGTTTTTACTGTTATCACTTTTTTAAACCGTTTTTGGTAAGATTTCTGGTCATATTAACTGGAACATATTTTATTAATGTTTTTAAATTCGGAAACACTTTTAAGGGTCAATACTAATAGACATGGTTATATTATAGATATGGAAAAAAATACGCTAAACACGATATTTGTTTTCGGAATGTACAAAAATAAATTGGTTTTAATAAATGCGTTCGTGATAATATGATGACTTGGGATTATTTTTTTCTGAAAGGGATTCATAGCTCTTGGCAGAAAATCATTGAAAATCTAGGTTTTGAAATTATATATAACCACTGCCACCAAAATTTAATCAACTTACTATGCTTAGAAAAGAAGCAGATTGAAACTTTAAACTCCCAAATTGACAACTACCTAAAATACTACTCCCTCAGGTCTATCGAACAACATTAACTAAGATGAAACTTCAAAACTTCCTTCTTACTGTCCTTTCCATGTGTTTCTATATAATGGACATACAAGGTGAATCATTAGAAAAGAAAATGGAGAACATATTGAATGTAAGGACTTTAACTTTTTGGTTTAATGTATAGCATATAGTGCCACCACGTATATGGGTACGTTTCTCTGCAGATGTAGAATTTGGATAGAGGATTCAAATGGTTTACGCATAGCCGGTGACGATGGCTACCGTGATTGTGGTGAGGGTAACTATCTAACTATTGATTTTCAGGACCAAACGTACACGGTTCATGCTAAAGTTGATGGTAGTTTCGAGCAACAGAAAGTACGAGGACCTTTTAATGAAAATACCTGTTATAGTATACATGGCAGTGTTGATAAATGGAAATTTGATCAAAAATCTTGTTAATCGTTTATTTGGACATTATCTCAGTATGTTGAATTTGTGAACCAATTAAATCTGTTTCTCTAGTTATTATTTTCTAGAAATATGACATCATTAATAATTAATACAAAAAATTTTTAATTTTTCGGAAAATTATTTACCAAAATAATGTAATGTAATTCAAAACTATATTCAAATTACTCATTATAATAACTTTCATATTTTATTATTATTATTTGCGAAAAACATAACTATATTTACCAATTCGGTAATACTTTTTATAATAAAATTATTATTTAACTATTAAACATTTTTTTCCGAACTAATCTGTTATAATACGATTCCATGATCCACATTCTTGTAAATTTCTAAACTAGTAAGGATTCCCTTATAGGTGATTGGAGATACTCCTCCGCCGACAAAAACTAATTTTTTAAGGCCCCGTAAAAAAAGTCGATTTATTTTTAATATTCCATCTTTTTTTTCCATAAAAGGCTCGGAATTAATAACCTTATATCACGGATCAATTTTCCGTGAATAAATCCGCGAAAGGCCCATTTTTACGGAGTTTTTACAGAAATAACGAATAAAATATTTTATAGGGATAACGGAGGAGGCAAGGAAGGAATTACAAGATAAATATCAGACGCAGTATAAGAACCTATTTTTCTAAGTATTATACAAATGAATTTATCTTACATTTGTAACTTTTAACTATGTTTCGTGTTGACATGTCATAATTGTCACAAAATACATGTTACACCAATAGAATGGTTATTTTGCATAGCAACCGATCAAGTGAACAGAGAAAATATAAAGACAAACTGACGTAATTATAATTATATATACAATAATTTTAATATATTTTTTAATTACTTCTTACAAATAAAAATAATAATAGATAAATAAAATTTAAAATATTCTTTGACTAAAATATTAACATATATTTGCTATAAAATTAAAATATAAAAGAAATTGTTTAAAAAGAAATTTATTTAAAATATGTATGATAATATTTTTTCCTTTTCGATTCCTGTTTATATAAACGAAGTCTCTACGCAAAGTACATAACCTAAAAATGAAGTTTATTTTTTAGAAAATGAGATAATTGAGAATATAATGTACATTTAAGATTATCTTTTATTTTATTTATTATAATTTACCTTTTTTAGATCCTCTTTTACCACTTTGGAGGTGATCTCACCATTCGATTCTTTGTATGAGTGAAGTTTAGCTCTATTAGTAACTAAATGAGCATAATATACCGGAGGCACCTATTTAAATATAATACCATTATTATTATTTGTTGAATACAATGGTAAAAGATGCAATTTAAAATCTTACCAAAGATACTGCACGCGTACAACGCACATATAAATAACAGAGATTATAAGATAACGTTTGTAGGCTAAATTATTAATGATATATTAGTTATGTATCTCAATTAATTATTAATAGATAGATTAAATTGACTGACCTATTTGCATCAAATCCGTTTTTGTCATATAAAACGTGATAATGGGTCGGTCGAGATGTCCCCAATAATCCAGGGTGACTTAATAAATCTGATAAGGATTTAACTTATTAAAGAAATGCTACAAATTTACATATTGACGCAATAAATTTAATTACTTACAAAAATCGAATTCAAATGGATGTGTAATACCCTCTTCGACAACGGTACCAGGAAGACAATTTCCCGATTTAAAATCGCTATTTTGCTTTTCCATTGGGAAAAAACGGGTGTGATGCCTCTTCTGTACCACAATAAACGTGATAGTTGGTTTATAATCAGCTCCAAGAGCTTGACATGCACCTATGGTAATTATAATTGGCCGAAAGTAAACCAAATAAATTAATTAAACGCATGAATAAATCTAGGAATGATATAAAATAAGTACTTCTAATCGCATTTAATTCATTCTTTAACACATGATTAAATTGGCCTTCTGAAACTCCGTCTCGGTAAAATATAATTCTTCTGGGTTTGTGTCCACAAGACTGATAAAACACTTTTAACAATTCTTTAACCATATTTCCCAAATCTACTATTATTTCGTAACGCCTGGTTTGAACTCTAATTGTCGCTGCATAACGTGATGCCTTAGAGTCTATAGAACCGCAAAGGGCAGCGTAAGATGGACTTTCTTTATCACCTAAAAAAGATGCAAGAAACATAAATATATTAAAAAAATACTTTGTGTAAAAAAAAATATATATATATATAGTTACCAGGTGCAGGATGAGATACGTCTGCACCTATCAAAATAGTGGGTTCATCATCTACAAACTTAATATGTTTGGAAAGTAGGGATGAATTCATTCCTCCAAGTTTAACATTTATTTTTAGGCAAACATTAGCACAATATTGTACTTTCGGGTCTTTCAAGTATTCCCTTTGGATGCATTGTGTTGGGACACCGATAATTGTGTCACTAACACGTTTAATTTCAGCATATAACTCTTGTCCCTTGCTTGGGAGAATACAAAGAATAAGTTGTGGTTTAGATTTCGCCGCATTACCAGCATTTATCCAGGCTAGTTTTAATGATTGCTCAATATTTCCTTGAGGATTTGCATGCATTATGGGAGGTTTCTTAGTTATTATATTCTGTTAAAGATAGACAGATGATTAAAAAGAAACTTTAATGGTTCGGGGTTTAATATCATTTAACTTACCATTCCCGTATTATGACACGTATTAGTAAATTCTACCAAGAATTTTTCAATAACAGGTTTAGGTAAAGTATCTTCATCTAAAAAGGCCAAAACTGACCAAGAACCAAGGGTAGCACCCATTGCTAATGTTTTATCTCGTAAGTTCCATACTCCATTTTTAGGCTCGACACGAAATTGCCTTGTTGATTGGCGGTACTCAATTGTTGGGGTGGGAAGAATCCTAGCGTTCACCTGAAGATAAATTTCGCGTTATTGAAGATCCAATTATTATCAAAATATAATTTATTCTTTCCTATGGTGCAAAATCATATTTAAACCTACCACAGCCATTTCGTCTGATATACTCATTCCGAATTGTTGAAGGTGTTCATTTTCTCGATAATTTAATAATTTAAGGCCATCCTGAATCTTATTTGCCCGATTGGACGGATTCTGACGAGTAAAGTTCATCATTACATCTGTTTGTTCTTTATTCAATTTTCGCATATATCGTTGTTCCTGTAAATATGAAATAATTTAAATTTCTTACATTATATGATATCGTCGAATGAATATATAATTTACCGGGACTATATCACACACTTCCATTGGAAGATAAACGTTTCCTCTCACGACAACGCAAGGAAGAGATGGATATGATAAGCGTATATTGTAAGCATTTTGAAAATAAGTTTTTACATCGATTTCGCTACCGTCACCTCTATCAAACGTAGTGTGAGAAGCTGGAGTTGGAGTTAAACCTTCAACCTTAAATTTTCGTCCAGTTCCCGTTCTATGATTATCCTTTATTTTAAGTCCTCTTATAAAATCCTCAACTTTGTGACGGTCATTTGTTGAAAGGCCTCTACGTAGTTCATTGAGGGTTCTAATATTTTTTAATAACTTTACAACTATATCAATAAGTGGACCACTTTCATAAAAAGCGGTAGCACTTAAGTCTACATTTATCATCATTCTTCCACTCATCGTAGGACGTGCTGATTGATAATACCCCTGGTAAGCTTCCAAACCTCCGCCAAGAGATTTTTTTACTTGCGGATTATAAAATGATCTACGTACAGTAGGAAATTTTGCAGAAATCTTGTGACTGATAATAATGTCCATTCCCGTTATTGCTTGTTACATAAATAAGATTATAATCCATTGTTGAGATTAGATTTGATCATTAAGGAAAGATAATGAAGTAAAAAATGAATTACCCATTAGGCAATTATTTGTCATATCGCCTCTTGCATTTAAAAATTGGAATAAATCCCTTACAACAATATCTCTAGTTTTTTTTATTCTAATTCTGAAACTTTGAGGTGGTCGTGTCCTACTCACGGGCGTACCTTCTTCCTCTAATTCCACCTAATTATGATAATTAAACTTAATAAATTTTTTTCTTAATTTCAAGAAAGAAAAAAAAAAATGATATGTTACGTCAAAACTATCGGATTCAAATCGCAATGGCTTATGTGCAAACATATTCGCTCTTCCTACCAACATTTTCAATTAGTTAGTATCTTTTAAAGTACAAACGTATATTTAGAAATCATGCTGCTGTTTAAGAAAAGGATTATGTAAACCAATTTTTGATATCTTGTTGAAGTTATAAAATTACATAGTAATATTATGATTTGTTTTATTCAATATTTGATATTGGTAAACGAAAATTTTTTTTTTTTTCGTTATTGAATACATACCATCAAATACCGGTCTTGCATCCCTAAGAACTCCATATCGATTTTGTTCCACAAAACGATCAAATACCTTCCTATTTAATCGCTGAGGGACCTTAGGTATTGTCGTTACATCGTAATGTGAAAAATCTTCTCTTTGCATCCTAGTAACTTCAAAGAAATTTGCTCGAACTCTTATACGTTTTCCTTCATCACCAATACCTGGTCTTTTTACGAGCTGAAAATCGAGTTCTTCCATATTATAAAGTTAATGAAGAGAATTCTTTTTTTGTTATTTAGGATAAATAAAAATATTAAAAGAGAACGAAATTTAGGTTGCGTATAAGAAAAAAAAATTTTTTTTTTTTTTTTTTTTTTAGCAGCTGGATAATTGGTTCTTTATATATAATTTTGGAATTTGTTGTGAACGAGTGAATGATTAACTTGAAAATATGCATTTATTATATTTATTATGTAAGATTTCCCAGAGCTGGAATATTTTTCTTTCTTTTTTTTTTTTGTGCGTGTGAAAATGTGATCTATGAATTATCAAGTTAAATCATATTTGAACTTGCATTTATTAGACTCATGAGAAATATTGTCATTGTTTCTAATTTGATAAAAACTTTTTTTTTTATTATAAAAAGAATCAACATTGACCGGATCTAATTTGTAATTGTAAAATACTCTTTTTAAACTTCAATACATTTTTTTTTTAACAAAAACAAAAATATTAATTTGGTAGGTTAAACAAAATGTTAAATGACTGAATATCCATTTCGATATAAAAATTACAAATGTAAATCATATGGGCGATTTGATGTGTAGTCCACACATATGTGATCAGCATAAATAAAAAATTGGGACTTAAATAAATGATCTACAATTACGTAAGTCAATGATTAATACGGTTAGGTGTACATCTTTATACAATAACAAGGTGTCACAAGATGGTTACATATGTACAGTAAGGGGGGATGACAAAATAATAACAAAAAACTCCATATTTGTATAATAATAAAAATAAACAACGTTCTGTCGTTCTGTTCTTTGTTTATAGAAGTAAATTATATGTAGCATATTTGAATTTTTAAATGAAAAGAAGCTATTGTTTATAAATTAACTATAATGAAAAGCAACGCAAATAAGTTCATTTTACTTCACCTTTTTAATACAATAATATCATAGAAAGAATTCTATTACAGTAATTAATTAGACCGACGTACTTTACAACATATGACATGACTACTCAGAAATTAAAACATTTAATGACTCACTTTCCGGTATAAATGGTTCCATTCTTTTTACTTCAGTTTGATTAAATTTTGCTTCATTTTTACCTCTAAAATGACCAACCGCCGAAAATTAAATGAATCTTTTTAAAGGTCTTAATTTCATAAACAATCTTCGTGAACCTTTTTTCAAAATCATAAATTGCGTAACTTGGTCACGTGACTAATATTTATTTTTAACCACTAGTATGTAAAAAAATTAATAAGTATGAAGTTTTATAAAATTATTTAATAAAATAAAATCCGTTCACTGTTTAGATAATTAAAAGAATTTAAATTTGGTAAAATATAGTTCAAAAAACTTAACCTTCAATATAAATTTTTGAAAACAGAACGTTAACGTTAATATTGTTTGATTTCACATTTTAAGAAATGCAAAAAAGTCAGGTTAAACAATCATTATTTATGAATTTAAATAAAAAAAAATTTATTAAATTTATTATAAATAAGTTAAATTAATGCATATAAAAATATTATATAAATATCTGTAATTTAAAAATTTAACAAAAAGATTAAAAAAGGAAAATTGTATTCATTATTCCAAATTATTTTAAACAATTCCAAAATTTCAAAATATTTAACTTCTAAAATGGATTGATTGATTGAATATGATAAATTTGAAAAAATCACTAGTTGAAAATGTTTAATATCATATGACTGTTACTTAACCATGATATATGAGTGTTAATCTATTTGCATACTTATATAAACCATATTGTTCAGTTTATAATAATATTCTCATTTATTTACTACATAACAATTTTTGTTTTTTTTTTTTTTTTTTGAGAAATTTCGATAGTCAAAATTAAATCATTATATCGCGTAAAAGTTTAGCCTTTTAATCACATAATACTTAGTTGCTTTCTATATTTAGTTAATCATTTTATTTATATTATTCATTTTATTTCCAAAATTGAATAAATTTAATTGCCGATCAGGATTATTGTGTTTCCTCCGTGTATTTTAACTAGCCTTTTTTTCATAATTTTATTGCCGATCTTGAAATCATTCAACATAAAATAACGTTTCACCATTTTTTTTATTCCTTTTTTCAATTTACTTTGTGATTTTACATACGAATTAATAACATATTTTTTGTTTAACTGTTAAATTATTTATTATGGGTGAAATTAAACTAAGTGATGATGTATTTGAACAAATAAAAGACTTCAACTATTGGAAATTGACTAAAGAACAAGAATCGTTAATTGATGAACTAATAATAGACAAAGGATTAAATGAACGATATAAAAATTATGGGGTATGTAAAAATTGTAAGAAGATTAATGCTAGATCTTTCTGCCAGCCATGTGTTTCATGTGTTTCTAAACGTTTTCAACAAAATTTCAAAAATTGGACAAGTGGAAATCATGTCGTTGATGAGTTTATTCAAAAAGTACAATTAAAAGCTGAGACTATATACCATACCATAGAGTGGATTGAATATGATAAATTTGAAGATGTTGAATATTTAGCAAAAGGGGGATTTGGAACTACTTTTAAAGCAGTTTGGAAAGATGGTCCTATATGGAGATGTAACGATAATCAATGGAAAAGAGTTGGTGAAACAAAAGTTGCTTTAAAATGTTTACATAACTCACAAGGTATTACGACAGAATTCTTAAAAGAAGTAAGTTATTTTCATTAAATTTAAATTAGCCTTTATAAATGTTAAACTAACTATAATTTTCTTTTAAGGTTGAATCAAACATTTTAGTATGTAATTCTGATTGGATAGTTCGTTGTTTTGGTATTACCAAAGATCCAAAAACAAATAATTTTATGATGGTAATGGATTTAATGAATGGTGGTTTAAGACAACATTTGAATAACAACTTCATTTCACTGGATTGGGAAAAAAAGTTGTGGAATTTACTTAATATTGCACTTGGTCTTAGTGATATTCATGAGAAAGGATTAATCCATCATGATTTCCATTGTGGAAATATATTAAGCAATTTTGATAATCGGGCTCATATTACTGATTTGGGATTAAGTCAACCGGCAAACGTCAAATCCTCTCAAAATAATAATAAAAAAATATATGGAGTATTACCTTATGTAGCTCCGGAAGTTTTAAGAGGAAAAGAATATACTCAAAAAAGCGATATTTATGGATTTGGAATCATTGCATATGAAATTTGTACAGGTTTCCCTCCTTATTATGATATAGCTCATGATGAATTCTTAGCAATGAAAATTTGTAAGGGGTTGAGGCCAAAGTCTAATTATAAAATTCCTCAATTGATTTTTGACATTATTAATCAATGTTGGGATGCAGACCCTTTAAAACGACCTAATGCAGTTGAATTACGTAATTTATTTTCGAATTTACGGAAAGATATTTATGACAATAAAATGGATTCTGTAATTTATGGGCAAGTTAAAGAAGCAGATGATATTAATAAAAAGTTATCTTTTTCATCACCTTTAATATCTACTGGTACTATATCATATACGACACATCCTCAAGCAGTTTACACAAGTAGACTTTTAGATTTTAAAAATCTTCCAGAACCAAAAAATGCCGATAATAATAATGATTTAATAGAATATTCAGGTAAATATATATAACATGCTATAATAATTTAAATTTATTTTACAATGCTAACAATTAATATTTATAGATTCCTTGAAAATAGATTTTACTAAACTTGATATTAATTCTAAAGGTAATCACTTTTACATGTGATTTTTGATCTATTGAATTTCAATTAAATTATTTTTTTATTATAGATGAAAGTAATTAAACTCAAATTAACAGTTAAAGTATAAAAGATATCATATTTATGCATATGTAATTATTTATTTTATTTGCGTTTTTATTTTACAATTGGAGATTGAAAGAATTATTTATGATTTAAATTTAACAAATCTATATAAATTTTCTAAATTTAATGGTCTTCTAGATTGGAGTTCTGCACAAAAATCCATATTTGTAACCCAGCCCAGTCCGCAACCAGAATTACTTTTCGTTAAAAAAGAATCTTCACATTTATTTGTTAAAAAAAAATCATTATATTTATTGTTATAAAAAAACCTTTATATTTATTTATTTAAATTTTGTATTTACTTATTAAAAAAATTTTTTGTACTGTATTTACTTGTTGATAAAATTTTCGTAATAAAATTACTATTTTCATTTATTAAAAAAAATTATCTAAATTTATTTACTAAAAAACTATCTACAGAATGATATTTATATGATTTATTATCTACGAAATAAAAATTGAAAAACAAATAAAAAAAAGGTTAATTTCTTTTTCTTTATTTATCGAGATAGTATTTGATAGTATTTGCGGATAAAAAAATGATATCCGGATATCCGAGAAAAATAATTATCCGGATACCGCAGTTTCTATCCTCCGAATAGAGAATATTCAAAAAAAAAAAAAAACATTTTAGATTTTCTACACACGACTAATATATGGATCCTATATTAGTGATGATTCTGATATAGAATTACAGAATGTTTTCCTAAAGACCTACTTGACAATATTCCAGATGATAATGATAGTGACTACAATGGCGAAGATAATCTTTAAGAATTTAAATCAATATTAAATTTACCTTTGGAATTGAAAGTTGGTTTAACATTTCTTACCTGAAAGTCTGCACAATGGTCACTTATACAAGGTTTTTTTATTCGATAAGGAAGATCAGAAAACTACTGTATTAAATAAACGTAGAAAACAATCGCTATTGTGTCATTGTCAATAAACAAAGGGAATCATTGCATTACTTAATAATGTGGCTAATATTTCTTTTTAGCCACTGCATCGAGAAATTAAGTTTATAAAGTTATTTGTAAAATAAAATTCGTTCTCTGTTTATTCATATAAAAATTTAATAGAATTAAAATTGGTAACACAAAGTTCAAAAAACTTAACTTTCAATATAACTTTTTTCAAAAAAATAAAAAAAAATCATTAACAGCACGTTAATACTGTTGATTCTATGTTTAAGAAATGCAAATAAGCAATAATTATTTATGAATTTAGTAAAAAAAAAACAATTATTACGAATAAGTTAAATTAATTCATATGACGACATGCGAAATTAAAACTAGGCTAAACTTTTACGCAGTGTTGTACATGGGACATGTCCCACCAAAATTTTAATGTCCCGGACATTGTTCCGTCCATGTCCCGTCCATGTCCCGTCCAAAAATTGTCCAAGTTTACAATTTGTCTTATCAAGACAGCACCTAATGGGCTATAATTTATAATTAAGATCACGTGATTTTAATGTCCAAATGTCCCGGACATTGCTAAAATCTTTGGACGTGTCCTGGACTGTCCCGTCCCGTCCCGTCCATGGACATGTCCCGTCCCTATGACAACACTGCTTTTACGCGATGATTTTTAACCATCAAAATCTTAAAAACAAAAATTGCTAGTAAAATTAAAATGTCATCATAAATTGAACAATATAATTTATATGAGCAGATTAACACTATTTATGTTTTTATACTGTATAGTAACGCTCAAACATTTTCAACTAGTAATTTTTTCAAATCTAGTTATCATATTCAATCCATTCTAGAAGTTAAATTTTAATCAAGAGAGAATTTTAGAAATTTGGAATTGTTTAATTTGAAATAATAAATGCAATTTTCTAGTTGCTAAATTTGGAGCGTATCACTCATTAAATATAAACATGTGATTAACTATTTTTAGCTATTTTAAACTAAAATTAGGCATTTTTCGGCTATTTATTAGGATTTTAAATATAAAAAAATAAGTGAGTTTTGCTGGGTTAAATGACCTGGGTTAAATCACCCCCCTAAAATTTATATTTATATCGAATGTTTTGTTTCTTAATTGTAATCAAATAATTTGAAATTAAAACGCAGTAAGTAATTATTAAGGTAATATTCATGTCGGTAAAATTGCTGTCAGTATCGTAAAACTAAAATCATTTAAATGAAGTATAAAAAAATTTTGATATCCTAAGTATAGTAAAATTCATAAATAATTGAGTAAAATAAATAATAAGATATTTGGGAGACTATCAATAGGCAATAGACAAGGAGAAAATTTATTTTTAATATTTTCGGTTATTAGGCTAACTTTATTCACGTGGCAAGATTGACCGCCTCCTATTTCTTAAAAAAAGACAATAATAAATAATAACAAACACAAAAAAATGAATAAAAAAAAAAAAAAGAAATAGAACAGAAATAGAATTATTAAATCAAATTTAATTATTTGATTATTATTATTTAACTAATATATTACTATGATGAATATATTTTTCTAAAATGAATCCCATACTCATACTCCTTTGATCGGGATGTGCGAATTTTTTTGTCAATTATAGATTGATTTAAACGAACAAAGTGAATCAAGTCAAGTCATAGCTTTTGGTAGAAAATCATTGAAAATCTAAGTTTTGAAATTATATATAACCACTGCCACCAAAATTTTGTTTTACAGAATCGGATTACTACGCTTAGAAAAAGAAGCAGAGGTTGAAACTTTAAACTCCCAAATTGACAACTACCCAGAATACTACTCTCTCAGGTCTATCAAACAACATTAACTAATATGAAACTTCAAAGCTTTTACCTTCTTACTGTCCTTTTCATGTGTTTCTATATAATGGACGTTAAAGGTAAAGTCCTTACATTCAATATGTTCTCCATATTCTTTTCTAATGATTCAACTTTTTGGTTAAATGTATAGCATTTACTGTCATCACGGCTTTGGAATTGGATCTCTGCAGATGTAGAATTTGGATAGAGGATTCAAATGGTAATCGCATAGCCGGTGACAAACACTACCATGATTGTAGTGACCATTCCTCTATTTCCTCTGATGATGATGACTATGAAACTATTAATTTTCCAAACCAAACGTACACAGTTCATGCTAAAGTTCAAGCTAGTTTCGAGAAACAGAAAGTACGAGGACCTTTTAATGAAGATACCTGTTATGGTATATATGGCAATGTTGATGATTGGACTTTTGATCAAACATCTTGTTAATTGTTTACTTGGATATTATCTCAGTATGTTTAAGATGTGAACCAATTAAATCTGTTTCTCTAATTGCATAATAATTCAAAAAATTTTACCGAAATTTCTCTGTGGCAAATTTAATGTAGTGTAATTCAAAACTATAATCAAATTACTCATTATAATAGCTTTCATAATTTTTATTATTATTTGCGAAAAATATAACTATATTTACCAATTTGGTAATACATTTTATAATAAAATTATTATTTAACTATTAAACATTTTTTCGAACTAATCTGTTATAATATATTTGAACTAACCCATTACCGGTTTTTACTCATTTCAATTATGGTATTGAATAATAAATTTACGATTCCATGATCCACATTCTTATAAATTTCTAAACTAGTAATTGATTCCCTTATAGGTGATTGGAGATACTCCTCCGCTGACAAAAACTAATTTTTTAAGGCCCCATAAAAAGTCGATCAATTTTTAATATTCCATCTTTTTTTCCACAAAAGGCTCATATTCCCTATAAGAAATATGTATACGGAAAGGATACGTTTTGTATACATTTTATGTACGTTTTTATAGATTCCGTATACAAATTCCGTATATTTAATAAGCAATTCATTTTTAAACATTTTTTAAAAAAACAAATGTATACGAAATGTATACGGAAAAAATTAATCATGCGGAATTTATACGGAATTTTTAAACTTAATATTTTTTAATTTTACAAAAATCCCGTATCATAACACGAGATCACGTGATTGTTTATTGTTTTGTTATGATACGTTTTTTGTTTTTATATAAACCCTTTTGGTGATTTTGATTTTCCGATCTTCCTTTCTGTCTTTCCTTTCCTTTCTCTTTTCTCTTGTCTTATTTTTTTTATTTTTTCTAAATTTTTCTTCTTTCTTTCTCATCCCCCTTTAAAAAAAAATAATTTTTTTTTCGTACCTCACTTTAAAAAATTTTTTTTTCCCGTCACTCTCCTTTAAAAAAATTTTTTTTCGTCACTCTCCTTTTAAAAAAAAATTTTTTCTTTTATTCCCACTCTTTTTTTTTT